GAATTTGCTGGTTTTTAGAGATTAAAAAAAGTAACATATAATGCTTACTTCACGATTTTGCAAGTTTCTCTTTATGGAAATACAAATATTCTTGCGGGATTAAATTTAAATAAAACAGAGTGGTCGGTAAACCGTAAAGTCGGTAAACCGAAACAGAGAGTGGAGGTTTAAAAAGAAAAGATAACGAACGAAAAATTTTCAACCAAACGACTCGGTAAATTACTCGGTGTGTAATAAAATTAAATATGGGTCAAGAGCCAAATTGGACAGACGGAAAAAAAAACTCGGGGCGCTCGAGATAAATATATATTGCGGGACCCGCCGGTCTCGTCGGAGCGGTCATGAGAGATCGGACGCGCGCGTGATAGATCGTAAATCACCTCGAGAATCGACGGCACCAGTTCATGAAGATCATTATTCGCCGCAGGACCGGGGAAAGCGCTCAGCAGCGTAACGTTGTGTCCTCGCGATCTCAGACTCGTACCAAGGGCGACGAAGGGCACCGTGTGAGACTTGGTGCCACCCATGGTGGCCATCAGAACGTTGTAGCCCAGTAGGGGTTCGATCAGCAGGCTGAACCCCAGGAGGAGCTGGTGGAAGCCGAGTCGATGTACGATGTGCGTCATTCTTGAGATTTCCGCTTGCCGACTAGTGTGTAACGATGGCGAACGGTTTTCTTCCTTCGCGATGATTCTCTTCCTTCTTGCGAGCGCGAAATATACCGAGATCGTCGACGATCTCTTAACGGAAAAGGACAATCGTCTCGCGAACCAACATCATTTCTTTTTCTCTCTCGTTCTTCTCCCTTTTTTCCTTTTTTTTTTTTCTCCGACCACGACGTACGATTCCCGTCACGTTCGAACGCGCGTTGCTTTCGTCACGAATTTCTTTCGTGCCTCGACGAAGCGAGAAACGGACCGAAGGATCCTCGGCGAATCCGTATTCTCCTCGGAGCGTTTCCGGTTGGGTGACCAGAATGATGTCGGCAGAAGTACGGATCCCTTACGCTCCAGTTCACGGCGACGAGCCGACGAATCGTCGCCGTTGCGATCCGTGCCGTTGATCACCCGGCGAACGTTTCGCGAGCGTGTCGCGTCTGATTGCTGCTCGATCGCGTTCCTACGACTGCGATCCCTCGCATCCTCCGACTCGTATTTTCCGCGTATTTTCGGGGGAATCGAATTCGCTCGAACTGATATGAATGGAAATCGTTAAAATTCAAAAGCTAAAAAAACACACATGTTTTCTCGGCGCGAGGTGAGCAAGGTCAAGTCTCGTTCGAGTTAAAGCCTCATTCTCATTTTAATGTACGCCGCCGAAAAGAAAAGCACTGTCAAGGTTTTTGTTCGCGGTGAATCGTGCGTCTCGTCTCTCTCGATTCCCATTCGTTTCCGGCAAGCAAATAATCTCGAAGATGGTTCTTCTACTCTTCGCGCGCGGCCCGTTGATCTCCAACAAACCCGTCCAATTTACCACTGAAGTTCTTCGCACTTTGCCTTTTGTAGGGATTCCGCCAGTGGACGGGATTCTTTTGATCTTCAAGTGAAAAATTAACCGTGAATAATTTTCTGATGTCTCTTTTTGGTTCAGGAAATGGAAATTATTAATCACGTAACAAAACGAAACTCCATCGATTTCCTTTTCTTTCTCGTAAATGCGTAAATGATGTTTCGATTGCACGTAAAGGGGACAGAGAGGGGACCCTTCGATATCTTCCTAAATAAAATGTAAAATTTTTTTTTTAATAAAGTAGTTGAAGTTTATAATACAAAAGCTTCATTCAAGAGTTTAATAGTCTTTAAGCTTTTACTTACGTCTTTTTAATATTCACTCGACTACAATGGTGGTCGTTAACTACCGGGAAATAGCACGAGGAAATTGTTATAACTTTACCAAGTGTATACTTAAATTTATAACGTTACTTGAAAGTCACTTAAATCAACTATTTCTGTCAGACGAGCGATGTATCACATCGCTTTCGGAGAACAAAAAAAGACACTGCCACAGACTGAAAATTTATGCCCGACTGTTTTGCTTCGATTATTTCAACTTGGACGTTTCCTTTCTTTCCCTTTCTAAATTTCCGCCGAGTGCAACGCACTCAAAATAACTTCACTCCGCGAAAAACATTAGTGCGAAGTGCTCTGTTAAATTTTCATTTGTTTTCTTAACGATCCTTTAAATCTTTCGCGAAGTCTTGCAAAGCGCCGAATCGTGAGAGCACGGCTTTACAAAAGTACGACGCGATCCGACGATTCCTTTTAAATCTTTTTGCTCCTTATAACTCTCTTTAGAAGCTTCTTACTTCGCTGTCGTCTCACGCTGTCTTCCTCGGATCTTTTCTCGTTATCTTCTTCGGATCCTTTCTCTCCCGTACTCGTTCGGCAAAGTGCTCGGACTTCCTCCGGTCCGATATTCCGAGGAGAGCCAACAAAGAGAACAATGAACGCGCAACTTCTCGCTCTGAGAAGTGCTCGACTTGTTAAACCGCCGATTTTTACCGATTTCTCACGACGCCGTGTGTCGAAATTCGAATCGTCGTCGGCGAGAGGCCGCCCGTCATTTTGTTCAATTATCTTTCCCTTTCTCCGGCCAGATGAAGATCTCTTGATCCTTCCTTTCCTTCCTGACCTTCTTTACCCCTTCACGCGTTTTCTTGGCGGGAATCTCGTGCGGCGCCGCTCTACACTTGATCCTCAAACCGTACGAAAGGCGCGGGCGACTTTCACTAATAACGCACGTCTCGTACGCGCGATCGCCCGTCGTGATAATCCAATTCTCGGATTTGGAAGCTCGACGCCGCTTCCCGCGTCAGGTATCATTTGTCTTCGTTCAAACTCTCGAGATTGAGATGTTCCTCGGCGCGGCGCGGCGTGAGGTGTTCCACGCCGCGTAATATTTTACCGGTGAACGAATCGCTTCAAATGGTCTTACATTAAGGTGCAGTTAATTAGTCATTTCTTCCATTCGCTGACTAACTCTCACTAACCGCTCTATCCAATTTGTTAAGTTTTTACGTTTGCACCTGATCGTATCGATTTTAATTTCTCTCAACGCAACTAAGAACACTTCTTAGCCCGCGATAACTTATCATCAAATCCGTTCGCATTTCACCAAAAAAAGAAAAAGAAAAAAAAACTTGCTGCTCGAACGCCACGCAATTTCTCCAGGTTGTTCGGGCAATCTCCTCTTCAACTAATCAAGTTATCGATTTTAATAATAATAATAATAATAATGCTGTTGGAATTAATAATATAAAAACTTTAATAGCGGTATAAAAACTTTTAATAGCGAAGTATCATAAAGAGAGTAATATTCCAATATTCCAATATTCAAGTTTCATTTAGGTCTTTCGAGCAGGTTCATTTAATGGGAACCGTACCTGCCCAATCTTTTTTGGTCTGGCCTCTTTTTTACTTCTTTTCGTTCGGATTCGCCGGTGGATTTTCGGATCGCACAGCCAGCCAGCGATCCATCAACGATTCTGTCACGCTCGCTCGGCACGATTCACGTCGCGATTTTCGTAATCGGAGCGGAATCGGTGAGTCGGACTCGGAAGCGCGGACCTTGAAATCGGTAGCGGCGTCGGACAACTGCTCGCTCGCGAAGCTCGCGTATTGCCGAGCGTGAAAGTTTGACTGTGCCAGCAGCAGCTTTAATGATCAGCTGAGCTCTAGAGAGAGAGTTTTGCCCTCCCACCAAGACGTTCCTCGTCGTTGGTCGCGCGTCCGAGAATGTTTGGACATCTACCACACTCGGAGAAGTGGACATCCACATCGAGTCGATAAACATCTGACTTGACTGTGTTATTTTATAATCATTTGGTTGACGAAATCTGCTGTTGTTGAATCGATAAAATTACTTCGTTGAGTAATGTGGCATCTCTCCAAGAGGATAATGGCGAGCTGTCGCTAATGCAAGCGGCTTTATAATGCCCTTATTATTAAAACTTGTTCATCCGCAAAACTAACGATCGAGAATCAAGAATATTATTTTGCGTAATGGAATTAACATTGTTTATTTATATTTCAAACAATTTAATTGTTGTAAAATACTTTTTTTAAGTATATACTTGATTTGCAAGAAATCGGTGTTTTTTTTAGTTTATTTAAGAAAAGATCTCAACTAATTTATATTAAAATATTATCAACGATATTATCACGATACGCTCTCTCTTTTTTTTTTCCATTCACCCGATTCATATCAATTATGCACGCCTTTAACTAGATGATTTAGTCGTCGATTCATTACAAATATCTTGATGTAATAAGTTCAGGTTTTTTATCATCTTTACTTGTAAATTAAAGAAACTTAAGATTTAATAGCAAGATGCAATTAATAGGTCGATCTTATTTATGTAATTTAGAAGCGTTTATGCTCTAATTAAACGTAATTTTATTGTCGCTGTAATGAGAAATTTGTGGATAATCTAACGACGATCTGTAATTCTATTGATTTGATACAATTTCCGCTTGAAGTTACAAGTTATTACTTTTTCAACTTCAACATGTAACGTTTCTTTATTACTTCCGCTCCTATTCAATATATTGCAGAATTTATTATGATAATTTCTCGTTATGTAACTCGTGATACGTCCGTGATTCCGTCATTTCGAAATCTCAAAATCTCAATTAGCTACTCTCTCGGTCAACGATCGTCTTTGACCGGGAAATTATAATAACGTGTGTGTAAATAACGCGCGATTTTACGACAAGGATCTCACAAACGAAGTCAATGACGAAATTTAAAAATTTAAAAAATTCAGATAAATTTCACTGATTATTCACGTTATGTTCCGCATAAATGAAATTTACTGGCGATTTGTGTGTATCGTTTATTCAATTCAAGCACAAAACATTTGAAAGTTTTGCGATTTTTTTTTTTTATCAATATTCATCTAATATTTTGAACGCATCTCATTGATAAATTTAAATTTATCTTTATTTCTATGATGTAATTTTATATCGTTAGATTATAATATTCTTATATATTATAATATATATTATCATTATTATAATGAAAGTTTTTTTGTCTGATAATCGTAGTGCAAGTTCCGTTATAAGGTTGCGTATAAATCAGCTAGTATTCCGTCATATTCCATCATCGATCAAATTTATCTCCTACTATCACTTCGCGCGCGTAACATAATTATTGGATCGCGCGCACGGCATGGTGCACCATCGCGTGAATTCGCGCGATTAGAGCCGCGTAATTGGAACTCGCCCTTCACGAATTAACCCGACAGAGGTTGCCGCAGCCTCCCATATCAGACCGTCTCTCACGTCGTTCTCCCATTTTACGACTATTTACTCGCAAACTGACCGCAATCCCTTCAAGGCTAATTTTCACGCGAAGGACCAAACGCGTTTCACGGATCGTTAAATCGCCAAATTGCGGCATGCTCGATTTTATGAGGTCGGGGCCAGATTCCGCACACGTGCACACGTACATACAGACATATACACATACACATACACGTATAAAGTGGATGACCTAAACGTCTCTGCATCCGTCGAGGGAAAGGAAAGGCTTTTCTTTTTTTCCAGCTTTGATCCAACAGGCGCGCCGAGATATTCACCGATCTGGACCGTTACGATCTAGGAAGTCGACGTGATGCTGGCTCAGTTTACTCTTTCTGCGCTATCCTTTCTAGACAACATCGCGCAAACGATCTTTCACGCTGTGAGCTGAAGCGGGATTTAGATATGGAAAAAGCAAGTTCACACCGCGGCAAATACGCGTAAACGTTGCCAGGATGAGATCGCGAAGAAGAAGATAAGGCAAGGCTAGCAATTTCGTGACATTCGGTGCGTTTAATTTGTTTGGAGGAGAAATCATCAACGAAAACGTTCTCGAAAGTCTCGACTTGCGGAAAAAACTAAATTGAATGACGTCGTGCATTAGAGCGATTTACGTCATGCTATTACGCGATGTGTCGTATGCAAGCGCAGTACTGAGAAAAGCAGGATATTTATTGACAAATAATATTAGCTCTCCGTTACATTCGAATAATGACTGTAAATTGGAAACATCGTCTTGTTTACTGTAATTTTATTTCCTTTATACCTTTCATACGAATGTTCGAAGTTTTACAAATTGCTTGTACGAAACTTAGATTAAAAGCAAAGTACCGATCCAATTTTCACTTTAGCTTAGGCAATTTTATTTTATTTATATTTATTTTTCATACCACATACATATAATCTTCCTCTCATTATTCAGCGTATCCACCAATTGCACCTACTGTTTATTAAATCTTTATTTTTATGCACGGCGCGTCCATTATCGCCGCATAAAATTTACATGGTTATATATTGCCACGTAAAATCATAACGAGATATCCTCTATGTGGAATTAATATTCCATTACTATCGAAACCTGTATTACGTATCACCACGTACGGTCGTCACTTTTTATTTTTGTTACACTTTCGATGGAATTAATAAATTGGAAACCGCGCACGTGACATTTTACGTTAAAATTTCATACGCCAGCAGTGAGAGTATCCAATACATCATGATTCTGTACAATATGTACATTATTCGTATTACAATATCTCTTTTATTATGAAAAGTGTTATTCAAAGTATGCACATACGTACGTATACACATTTAATATATATTTCACACAGATGCATGGACGGTCCATTCTGCTTTGTTTAAGAAAATATGCGAAGAAAGGCAGGAGATTACTAAATTTCGGTTCTCCGACGGCGGATAGCTCCTTGACACGTTAAATCAACTGGAATTTAATCAACATTCCGTCGAATCGACGACTCCGCGAGAGATGAGGTACTCCTCTCTGATCGAAGCAACTTTCTAAAATATCGGAATCGCGGGAAGAGCCCGGAACATCTCGCGGAGAAAAGAAATATTTACCGAAAGAAATGTCTTGTGCCGTTCACCGCGCCGTTGCCGCCGTCAACTTTGTTATCTTCGATTTTTCATCAGCGGAGTCAAATCATCGATCGTGCGACGGATTTAAACGGCGGGAGAAGAAATTCCTTTCGCATTTGCACCGAGGCGTTCATTGTCGACCGTGGCGAATCGGCGAGGTGATTTTTGTCGGTCGCCTCGCTAGCGGAAAAGCCGTCGACGCGCGGTTGCGTAACTTGAAGCGAAACTTTCGCTCATGTTCGATCGAAAATTTCCGAGTAGTACAGTTTATATTTGAATGGCACGCAGTCTGCGTTTATATTACATATTAGCCATTATCGATAACTATTGCTTGATGTACCGCGGAATGCCGCGGAAATATTTCGATATACCGCGGCCGAAGATAGCTTATATTCTGACGCATTCACTAGATTATGATTACCGACAATGTTAATTATATATATATATATATATATATATATATATATATATATATATATATATATATGTAGTT